ATTCGCGAAGCTTTACTTTCCAAGAGGACTGGCCAAAAACAGGTAATTAAACACATATCTAGGAAGAAGAAACAAATAATACATGAAAAGAATTATCAGTGAGCTACTTCGTTACTCGTTTTAAAAAGAGACAATATATGCATATGCTTTTTTTTTCCTCGAAACCTTGCAACTGCCACCTTAAAGCAGTACACTCTCAATTAGTTCTCACTCAAACTCAATAAAAGGGCGCAATTGCTGTCGTCTGTGAAATAATTTCAAACTATGCATTACATTTCAATTGATTGAATATTATTTTATTGCTTGAAGCCTTGTCTAACCAGCCATGCTTTAGCAACTGTCTGACTTCAATAAAACTCAGGTAAATTACCTCCAATGTGTCATTTTGAAATGTTCGTTACTGTCGCCGGTGACAGAGTTTGGACATAAGGTGCTTACTTTTAAAACTTAAAGGAAAAAAAATCGTAAATGATAACATCATTTAAGATTAAACATATCAAACTCTGAAAATGAAAAATAACATCGATGTTGTTTGACTGACTGTATGTTCCGTACTTAATTTTAAAGTGATGTCGCCAAATAAGACACAAGATCAATATCGCCGAATAAAAATATTTTGAACGTCACTTATCAAGACACAAATGTAACTACAGACAAGTGATGTGATTTTTTATGTAGCTAACTATCACAAACATCCTTTTTAAGAAATATTAATTTCAACTCTTCATCCGCAAAACTTTAATTCAGTCTGTAACTTTGCCTTCTCGCTGCGATGAAATAAGAATGAAATGTTCGTTACCGTATTCATGCAACTAAACGTACTATCTTCACACCGGCTGGTGGTTTCATTACAAAGATAATGTGTGTTGTAAAAAAACATTTTATAACAGCAATCATATTTTCATTCGAATCACTCACTATTCCATGGTATGTACTTGTTTGAAATGTCCGTTACCGAAATGTTCGTTACATAGTTTTGAATTCGGTCACTTTAAACGCCGAGAAAACCCAACTTTAAGCGTTTATAGGATGAAAGTAACAAAGCGCCATTACGTTTGAATGTCATTGTTGAAGGTTGAGTATTCAAATTTTCAATTTTCGAAAGTCTTCATGCAGAACACAAGGTAGGTGAATTCAGTGATGTGTACCGTGATTTATTAACAATATGATGATAATATTTTTTTTAAACAGAACTGACAATGAATAAATAGACTATTGCTTAAAAATTAACATCATTGTTTGTGCTGTATATTTATAATAATGCTCAAAATAAACACAGAAATGTTCGTTACTTGATGGTAACGAACTTTTCACTTTTAGTATCATATCGTATTGAAGTTCTTTTTTTAAATTTCTTTATCACGCTATGAAATTAATTGGTTTAGAAACAATGTGTTACAAGTTTGATAATTTTATTTTTGATTTGTTTGTGTATTTTAAACATTAACAATACGTTTGAACACAATGTTTAAAAAATATTGTAAATATTGTTCTTGGAAATTATTCTTCACCTGTTGAAATTTTGGGGGGAAAACCCGACAATTTATTATTCCGTTTACTGTACAGAAAAATTGCATACATTTATACTCATGTTTATCACAGATGTTACCTTACCAAAATTTAATATATTTTTTTCAAAATTTATCCAATATTCATGAGTAACGAACATTTATGAAATGTGGTAACGAACATTTCTTATCATATTAATATAATTTTATTTCATTTCTATTTAAGCCAGATGACAAAATCAGGTGCTGAAATTCAGAAAGCATACCGGGAAAGACTAAACGTAGGTCGCGGGGTTGGTGACCATTAAAAATTGCTCAAAAACATATTATGAACAAGATGTGTTTGTGAAACACTGATGCCCCCGTATGGCAGCTTATGGCGAAGGTTAAAGTTTCTCAAATGCAAGTCAAAATCCAGGCCAAAAGATAAAAAATGTTGATACCTAAGAAAGATCTTGTCTCGAGGAATACACCTGTGAAATTTGAAAGACCTAAATACAACTGTTCAAAAGTTATCGCCAACGTTAAAGTTTTTCAAAAGTAGGTCAAACTCCTAGGTCAAGGTCAAAGGTTCAAAGTGGTTGATATCCAAAGAAAGGTCTTGTCACAAGGAATACACATGTGAAGTTTGAAAGCCTAAGCACCAATTGCTCAAAAGTTATGGCCAAGGTTAAAGTTTTTCAAAAGTAGGTCAAAGTCCAAGGTCAAAAGGTGAAAGTTGTTGGTATCCAAAGGAAGGCCTTGTCACAAACAATACACATGTGAAGTTTGAAACCCCAAGCACCAACTGTTCAGAAGTTATGGCCAAGATTAAAGTCTCATAAAATTTTGCAAAAGTGGGTCAAACTCCAAGGTCAAGGTCTAAAGGTCAAATATGATGGTACCCAAAGAAAGGTTTTGTCACAAGGAATACACATGTGAAATATGAAAGTCAATCAAAAGTTATGGGCAAGGTTAAAGTTGACAACAGACAGACAGACAAACAGATAAACAGACAGACAGACAGACAGGACAAAAACAATATACCCCCGGGATCTTTCGATCCGGGGGCATAAAAATTGTTATTTGAATCTCCTACTTTTGTACATTCTGTGAAAATTTTATAAAATTCGTCTGCATCGTTTTTGCGTTATTAAATCCCAAACAAGCCATCGTTGTCGTAACATTTTCGACGCTATTCTATTGAATTCTATAGGGAAAACGTAATTTTTGACTCGTTTTTAGGCAAGATTTCGTCTAAAAAAATCTCAGTAATTTTTAAATGGTGCAGACGAAATTGTTCCCCTTTTGGTCATTTCACACAGAGATGATTTCCGATAAATCTATGTATTCGAGTTCGTTTTCTCGTAATTTAAATGCGAATTATTGCTTTTACTTCGCAAAATTTAACATTTTTAAGAATGACGCTATAAACTATCGCGACGTCACGCTTGACGTCGTGAATACGACCCGGTATAAAATGCAGAAAAACAAAATAATATAATAAAGAGTAAGAAAGAAATTTATGTCTATAAACATTTAATGTACAATAAGCACAGATGTATGAGTTAGATAACAATGTATCTTGTCTGAAACACTTTACGGGTTTCAATTGTTTATAAGCCGTAACTAAAGAGAGACAGAGAGAAGGCTTGGGTGGGGCTTGCAGGTACAGTACTCCTAGCGTAATTCAGAGACTTTTTTTCTTACAAAAATTGGGGAGGGAATACTAATTATAGAATTTAATTAGGGAAAAAAGTTTTTTTACACACTGGGAGCTGGTTCCTGTATGGGTGGATTTTTTGTATTCAAGATGGATGGATTATATTTCTTATTCTTTTAAGAAAGTTATACAAAACCCATCTTTATTTACGGAATTTTCACATTGGTAATGCTTGTACGAGTACACACGCAGCATACGACTGCTTCTTTAACATGATGTCGCTGTCATATCACCACATGTCGTCAGCGTATTTCTTTTCCAAACGAATCTCATTCTGTTGGTAAATAAAAAAAAATACCAAGAACTACTCGTGTTTTGTCTGAAAAGATCACAATTTTTCACAGAACCTGTATATTTTTTGAACGTCCGATTTTTCGATCATTCTCGACGCCGTTCGATATTGTCAAAGTACATGTATTTGCAAAACATGGTGTTATAATATTCTAAAGAATTTAGCCTTTGATGAGCGTTTAAAAAACGAGATATTAAGATACACAGGAACAAATGATGCAATTTTTCAGAGGGGGGGGGGGGGGAGAGAGAGAGAGAGAACCGAACAGATATAAACATGCTCAGGCCAGTCGCAACGGTTTCAATTTTTTTTTTCTTTTTTGGGGGGGGGGGAAGGGAGCAACCTAGCCCAAGAAGCACCCCAAATAAACAAACCTAATTAGCTGTCCAAATCCTGGATGTGCCAGTGCTCAACCTTACAGGAACAAAAAGTGGGGATCCTGCCCCCCTCCCCCCGCCGCGTTTTACGTGCCTGACATTCTTGAGTGGACGTGCACATTACAAATTAGTTCTGTTTTCTAATTTATATTCTCGTGTACTGGCAAAATTATTGAGGTGGTCAACAACTGTAAATTACCTTGATTTTCTAAAGTAATTTATATACATTGAAAAAATTATGGGGACACGTCCATCCTCCGATTCCTACCGAAATAATACCCTTTTCTTCTTTAGCACGAATTCCTCGTAAGGACGAGTACTGGCATATTCGAGGATTTATTTATTTTTTGCTCGTCAGGTTTTTTTGGGAAGTTGCCCCCCCCCTTTTTAAAACCGTTGCTACGGGCCTGCAATGTGATGATAAATAAACGCTTTCAAACGCTTTTGATTTCGTAAAAAAAAGTTTTTCTATATGTGATAACTTCAGTTTGTTGTATTGAAGAGTTTAAAAAAAATAATCGCAGATTTCTTACTTGACGTCATAATCAAATGTGCACAAGAAAGTCGCCCAAATCATATAAATTGCGTACCCAGTTTTAACGACGTCAGCAAACCCAAGACCTACGTTGAGGCCAAAAATAAAGAAGAGTATTTGAGAAAGGAGAGAGAACGTCGACGAAAGAGTTATGTCCCATCCTCTCGGCTCTCCAGGAGAGACAGATTACGAAGGAACATTAAAAATAACGAAATATTGAAACGCTATAGACAGAGAAAAAAAAGATAGATCAGCAGCAGAAGCTATGAATAATGAACACAACTCAGAAAGCATGGACACAAGCGGTTATGAAAGTCCAGGAATTCAAGGTGAATCTTCACAAAGATTTGTAGTTCGCATGTCATTTCGACGAAACGGCCCAAGGAAGAGAATAAGAAGAGTATTGACAAAAAAGAGTAGATTATTGACGAAGCTGAAAACAGAATTCCAAACACTGCAGAGAAAATACAAGACAACATTACGAAAGATACAGCGCATGAATAAGAAAGAAACAACAAATAAACCTTCAACACCAAAAAGCAAGACAAATGCACAGATTAAAGAGGCAGATCTCGAAGGTGACCAGGTAGAAAACATTCGAAGACAACTCTGAATGAGCAACGCTTTGATTGAAGAGGTGAAGAAGGCTAGAGAAATAATAATCTAGGAAAAGAAAAAAATAATACGAAACGTATTAGCAGGTAAAATCATTAAGAAATACAAGTGTGTAAACATACTTAGCAAGATGTCGGGCTTCAATAGAAAAAAAAACTGGGCAAAGTGACGACAAAGATGATTGATTTTGGAATACACAAAAGAGCTAGGTAAATGAGACGCTACACAGATGAAGTTATTTGCTTCTTGGAGCGTGACGATAATAGCAGGAACCTACCTGGAAAAGCAGACAAAGTGAAAACTGGTGTACATAGGAGCACACAGACTCGGGTATTAACAGACTACCTGTCAAACTTGCACCGTAAATTTCTAAGTGAAAATCCCACAATAAAGCTTTCCCTTGCGTCTTTTCAACGAATACGACCAAAATACATCCGCACAACAGCATTTATCACACGACACAGTTGCCTGTGTATTAAACACCAGAATATGGCATTATTACTGAAGGCCCTCCGACGAGAAAACGTTGTTCCAACCAATCCAGAAAACTACTTGGACGACCTTTTGATTGAAAATATTAAAGAAAGTATTACCAGTTCCGATATAAGTTTTGAGGAATGGAAAAGGGCTACAGTGGAAGAGAAGGAAAAGAAAAAAATGGTGATGAAAATTGTGAAGGTTAACAAATCAAGGGATGAATTCATCGCACACTTAGAGAAACAGACACAGCAATTCAAAAGTCATGTTAGTAGAATGAAAACACAGTATGAGCAAATAAAATTGTTGAAGGAGACACTGATGCCCAACCATGTTATTCACATGGATTTTGCTGAGAACTGTAACTGTAGGTCGATGGAAGAAATCCAGTCAGCTTACTGGAACCAGCAAGCAGTCACCTTACATCCTGTTGTAATCTACAGAAGAGCTGCAGAAGACCAGCCGGTATGCCACAAGAGCTTTGTGATAATCTCGGGTGATCTTAATCACAATGCCATGACAGTTCTGACCTTTTTAGCTCACCTGAGCCAAAGGCTCAAGCGAGCTTTGTCCGTTGTTGTCGTTGTTGTAAACTTTTCACATTTTCATCTTCTTCTCAAGAACCACTGGGCCAAATTCAACCAAACTTGCCACAAAGCATCCTTGGGTAGAGGGGATTCAAGTTTGCTCAAATGAAGGGCCACGCCCTCTTTCAAAGGGAGATAATTATGAATTAGTGAAAAAATAATGGCATCATTTAAAAATCTTCTTCTCAAGAACCACTGGGCCAGGAAAGATGAAACTTATGTGGAAACATCCTCAGGTAGTGTAGATTCAAGTTTGTTCAAATCATGACCCCCGGGGGTAGGGTGGGGCCACAATGGGGGATCCAAGTTTTACATAGAAATATATAGGAAAATATCTTTAAAAATCTTCTTCTTAAGAACAGTAAAGCCAAGATTGGTCATATTTATATGGAAGCATCCTCAGGTAGTGTAGATTCAAGTTTGTTCAAATCATGACCCCTGGGGGTAGGGTGGGGCCACAATGGGGGATCCAAGTTTTACATAGAAATATATAGGAAAATATCTCTAAAATCTTCTTCTTAAAAACAGTAAAGCCACGATTGGTCATATTTATATGGAAGCATCCTCAGTAAGTGTAGATTCAAGTTTGTTCAAATCATGACCCTGGGGGGTAGGGTGGGGCCACAATGGGGGATCCAAGTTTTACATAGAAATATATAGGAAAATATCTCTAAAATCTTCTTCTTAAAAACAATAAAGCCATGATTGGTCATATTTATATGGAAGCATCCTCAGGTAGTGAAGATTCAAATTTGTTCAAATAATAACCCCCGGAGGTAGGGTGGGGCCACAATGGGGGATCCAAGTTTTACATAGAAATATATAGGAAAAAGTCTCTTTCTCAAGAACAGAAAAGCCATGATTAGTCAAATTGATACGGAGGCATCTTTGGGTAGTGTAGAATGATATTTGTTCAAATGAGGGCCCCCGGGGCACAATGGGGGATCAAATTTTTACAGATGAATATATGGGAAAAAATCTGCTGCTCAGGAACAACAAAGCCATTTGTTATATTGATATGAAAGCATCATCAGGTAGTTTAAAATTCAACACCCCCTCCTTGTAAACTTTTCAATACTGTACTGATTTTTGCTTTTTTTCCTAGCCAATGTGCTCAGGTGAGCGATTTGGCCCATGGGCCTCTTGTTAAAAGTGATCATACAAGAAATAAAAGAGGAGGATCCAGAGGTCAAGTTTATACATTATTGGACTGACAGCCCAACAAGTCGGTACAGAAACTTTGCTGCTGATCATGAAGAGACAACAGGCATCAAGGCTAGGTTGAATTACTTTGAGGCAGGGCATGGAAAGGGTCCATGTGATGGGCTTGGGGGAGTAACTAAGCGTATGGCCGACCAGGCCATGAAGTCAGGCAAAGTTGTAATACAAGATGCACAAGAATTCTTTGCTTGGACACAATCGTCTTCTTGTAATATGAGTAGTGTTCGGTTTCAATTTGTCCCGAAGGAGAGGTGCGAGGACATGGCCAAAGAGTTAGAAAACATCAACGTTAAAACCATAAAGGGTACTATGAAGATGCCGTAGTAGGATGTGGCTCAAAGTCCATTCTAGTGAGAGGCACAAGTTGCTACTGTGAAATATGTGTCAGTGGAGATCATTGCGACACCTGGCGACAAGAATGCACAGCAGTAGCAGATATGGAGAAGGATGATGCAACGGAACAGGAAATGGAAAGGGTGGCCGGTAATATAAAGGGTCAGTAAAATGCAGCATTGAAGACTTTGTCGTAGCAAAATACGAAAAAAAAGTGGTATGTCGGCCAAATTATTGAGGAAGACCCAGATGATGAAAACGGTTATACATACAACATTTCCTTCATGGAAAAACGTAAAAATATGTTCCAATGGCCGCGTCAGAAAGACATTTTGTGGTGCAAATCCTCCGACATTAAGTTGAACAAACCAACCCTCCCAGGCAAATCAGGAAGAAATGTATAAGCTAGATAGCGGTGACTGGGAAAAGTTTTCCAACATTTGTGAAATGTAACGCATATTTCAAACAAGTCCAAATTTAACAAGTTTATATACTGTAATGTAATTTTAAAGAAGCAAACATGATTTAAGAAGTAAAGAAAAGCCTATATTGTATGATTTGGTACATAATGTTATGTTAGACAAACATGGAATTTACAAAAAATTTAGTATGATTTGTTGGTAACGTATATTTCAAAATGATATGGCTATCACAGTTTAGGAAATTGACTCCTTTTTTGACAATTCAGTAGAACTCAATATTCCTCTTATGATTGTTTATGATCACATTAATATTTAGTTACGAAAAGTTTTGGCACAAAATCCAAACATATTTCTCTAATGGCAAAGATTTGCCCCTTTTCACAATTAAATTACTGCCAAAATCATTTATCGACACCTGCATAATATATTTAAGCACTAACTAATGTATTATTGGTGTCAATAAAGCAATTTACACAAAGTATTATGAAAATAAGTGAATAAGTGTTGTTAAAATTTAATTTGCATCTTTCTTTCAAAACAGGTTTTTCATGAAATGTACGTTACTTTTTAGTCCCTTTTTGTTATTTGATTGCAAAGACATTGCCATTGTGTTCGCCGATACCATATTTTTTTAAATGAAGATTAAAGTAAATATTTTCAATGTTATTTGTATTAATTTATGTTTCTTCTAGTATAACATACACAATTTTTTGGGTGGAGTGTAAAACATGCAGTATTTTTGCATGCCTAAAAACCGGAAAAGTCCAAATAATAACACATACTTAAACATAGTGTATATCATTAACGATAAATCTCATCCCAAGCATTCCATATTTTTTTAAATACATACACATAGCCTTCTTATCATACCTTGTCAAAATTTGATATTTATAATCCCACATTTTGTGTAAAGCCACTGAAAAGTAATGAAACCCCTTGGTAACGTACATTTTTAAGGCTAAATTTTATGAAAAAATGTCATAACTTTTAAATGTCACATCTCAAAAACCCATCAATTCTTGTTGAAAAAAAATTGTATTTGTAATGATGAATTACTGGTATTTAACTATCAATATTTTTCTTTTTTCTTATAAACCATTTTATGAACCATGTCATTAGGTCTTTGTGCCCTTTTATTGAGTTTGAGTGTCTACATTTTGCCATACATTTGAAACAAATCCTGCATCAAGTCTGCCGTAAAATTTCTTCAATAGGACAATATTTCTAAGTGGATCAGGTACCTGCTAAGTTAAAAAATGACAAATGTATATTAATACAACCCCATTTAAAATGGAAACACATTCACTATTTTATTTAATGGTTAAATAGATCCAATCAAGGCTTGCATACACAATATATTTTCTACTCCCTGTATAGGGGTACATAATTTACATATAGAAATGTCATCTTACTATATCACTGTTCGCATGATTCATTGCTCTTTACATATTTCTATGATTTGGTATTTGCCTCCTTGTTACCCAGGTTCTGCAAGCAATATCAAACAAGCCACTTGACCAGGTAATAAAAAATAAATACTTGTAATAGATAATATTAATTGATGAATGTAACTCTGTCATGATGGGATTTACTTTGTTGGAATTTTATAAGGTGATGGGGGTATTTTAATTTATTGGTAGAAATTGCCGCATTTACAGATCTTAGGATGTGAACAGGCTCCATCTGAAACGACATATGAACCATCGAAGTGGAACAACAGAGGATTTACTCGACGTTGGAATAACTGTTACAACTACGGAAATAATATAAGAACGAATACATTCGCCCAGCCGGGAAGGGCAAATAATTATCGCATCCAGACCATGGATGGACCATCAGTACAAACTGGAGCAGAGCTAGACGGACTTATTCAAGTGGTAGCAACGTCTTCATGTCTTCCTGAAGAATATAATGGAAACCTTGTTGCACTAGTTATATGGCCTGGAAATGATTACCATTTTTACAGACTGGATGACAATGGTTTATTTTCCCATAAACCTGGAAGGACAGAAGCTAGGAATTTGGACAATTCCGGAAACTTAATAACAGATCCAAGAACAGCAGACAGAGGTCCATATACTGTATTCCAGTGTTTTATGGAGACCGATCCCGATGTTGTTGTTATAAGATGACGCAAAACTTAAGCTAATACTTCAGCAAATTTAAAAATTCCGGAAAAAAAATTTCCTCTTTTATTAATTTAATAAAATCATGGTTTTTAACATAAGTGTATGTTGTTTTCAAGGTCAAATTTCATTCCTTATTTTTACATACTAAATACAAATATTCTTACAATTATACAGCCTAGATACATTTTTACCTAAAAATATTAAATACAGAAATCTATGACCTTGTTTATTGCAATCTAAACTCAATATAATGTTTTTGTTACTTTCCTATTAACTAGTGTCTTAATATGTAAAAAGCCACTAGATTCCTGACAAGATTTTTTTTAATGGCCTCGCATTATGCAAATTTGATCAAGGCACAGTTCTTTCTGTTAAGAGACAAGTTTCTTACCACATCAACCAAGAAGTGATTGATTGATTGTATGTTGTTTTACGTCCCATTCAAGAATTTTTCACTCATATAGAGACGTCACCATATACCGGTTAAGGGCTTCAAATTTTTACCTTTACTCAGCACTCAGGGCCATTGAGCAGTGAGGGATCTTTATCGTGCCAACGCCTGCCGTGACACGGGACCTCGTTTTTTAAGGTAGGTCCCTATTCAGAGTTCTAATGGTTAAAATGTTATATTTGCTCTTGAATTTATTAAAATAACACTTAATGTAATTAAAAAGCCTAAAAAATAAATAACTTTTCATGTTACTTTTCATACTAGAGTGCCCTGATGACGTATACCTTTCATCATACGATTTTAACCATATCCAATATATGGCTTATATCAAATCAATATCAAAGGAAGATTACTTTCAAATTTATTCATTATTATATAGGAAAGCCATAACTAGTGTCACATGTAAATATTCATTTCATAATATATTTTTTTGGAATATGATATCAATTTGGTGATTCAAAATTTTTCACAATGTCGTCATTTTTAAACTTTTTTCAGAAAGCAATGGATAAACACATTCTTTTTTTCTTTAAAATATTAGATTTATATCTGTTGCAACTAAAGAGCCAAAAAAAAGAAGTACTTTTCAGGCTTTTTACATCATCCAGATCATGTATACCCCCTTACCGATCAAACAATTGAACTCAAAAACTATCGGTCAGAAACATATCTCTTTAAAAAACCACTCACTAACATCATTTTTTATGCATAATAAAACATAAGTATATTTGTCTGAAAAAAATCATTAAAACGCATTTTTTGGCAACTGCTCAATAATCGGCACCTGAACAATCATGCCTAAACCAATGCAACATTTTGAAATGGAAATGTAATAATTATAGAAGATTAACACCTTTTCAGGCATGCAGTTAAATACAAACAATAATGCTTCTACCTCAGTAATACCAACACAAGACATAGACAAAGTTATGTTATATCTAACAATTATCATTATATGTCCAGTGTACTGAAATGAACAAAACAAAAAAATGAGAGCTGTTTCAAACTGGAAACATCAGACATAGCATTATGTGCATCATAATCTACTCCAAGAATACTTTTCACTAGTGTCTCTTGCTTTGAATTAGACACATTTGCCTTATCAAACACTTTCTTTGATAGTTTATAGGTGTCAATAAACCCTGAAACTTCATTCTGGAATTTTTTCAACATGTCATATCTTTGAAAATTATGCATCTAAACTGGTACATCAAAATTTTGTCCAATCAAAAATGGTTTAGCAGATGATGCAACAAACTGGGTAAAACACCTCAGACCCTCTTCAGCACTGACCGATTTGACAAGATGTCCATGACGCTTCAGAATTCCACCTTCAAATGTCAATCCTGTTACTTGGGAAGCACCTTCAGAAATTCTTTTGCTTGGATTCATATGAATGTTGATGGATTGGTCACCACAAATAGCGGCAATTTGAACAATATCTGATGTTCGTTCTGAAATGAAAATGTAAGGTATGCACTCCAGGTGTTTCAACTAGGGATGTCGATGAATAGAAGACTATTCCACTATCAGAAGAATGGACTATAATATACCAATATATAAGTTAGACACAAGAGTAGTGTATTGTGAAACGCTAATTATTCAAACATCTTCATGCATGCATAATTTGATTTCTCATAAGCAGAGGAAGACCAATGTCCATGTGACACTACAATGCATGGGTTCTGATACTTGGTAAACTTACCTGTAAGAGTATTATAAGCTCTCCCAGTATCCCGGTTCTGCCAAGCACCATCAAAGCTAACTGCCAAACTCCTTTCACTCCTAAATAATAATATTTTCAATCAATGATATAAGTTAGAAAAAAATAGTTGCAAATAAAAATATCACTATGTCATTTTTTGCTAGAAAATGGCATAACAATTACAATCTGTCCAAGTTGTTGTCCATCCTCTCTTTCCCTATGCTTCAGAGTCTTCTGTGAAACACTGGGGATGTTTAAAGCACCTAGGAGTGAATTCACATGTGTTTCATCAAATCCTCCGTTTATCATTCCTGAAATTAGTTTTCAAAAATATTAACAAGTCAACATAGAAAGTGTATACCTGACACGGTTGTTCTTGCTTATTTCCTGTGTGTGTGTATGTTAATGTACACTTGAGTGCATGTGTGAGTTTGAGAATGGAGGTACTTTTCATAAAAAGTAAGTTACATTTATCATGTTTATATGCTGACTATTACTGTTTTTTTAAAAAAATGCCCCTACATGATCCAATATGTGAATAAATAGACGAATTTCACATTCGTAAGAGTTATCTCTCGTTGTCGGCGTAACGTTCATTTTCTCACTATAACCTTTGTAACTTATCTTTAAATATTTTCAACCTTTAAACGCTATCGGACAATTTTGATCTGTTCCTGTATTGTCATAGTAAGGGGAAACATAAAAAACATAACATATGTATACAGATTTCATTTGTAAGACACTGCCCCATAAAGTTTGTAATGGTATAGAGGGAAAACAGTGCCTTATGCCGGTTGACCCCAGATTGACCCCATAAAGGGAAATAACTTTTGTAAATGTGAAAGTCATCTAATTGTAATGAAACATTACCTGTTGCTAGTTTAGTAATAACATCCCATGCACTTCTGCCATTTGAAGTCTGGTGTTTGCTTCTTGTTGCCACTTCGTTCACCAGTCCACAGTCTGTAAATTTGCATTTGATAATCAATATATGTTCAAGCCCGAATTTTTGTTCCCCTACACAATTTGACAATTGTAGTGGCTGTCCGCACAACTGACAACAGTTAAGACCGTCTGCAAGAACCCCAAGCTCAACAATGCGTCTGATTTCGTTTCTCCTCATCCTGAACTGAATATGTCTCTTCCTCTCTTACGACATGAAATTCCTCACAGTCACCGTTATAACCATCGGGACTTGAGACAATCTTAGCAAAATCGGGTATATAGTATAATAGGGGAGAAGGGACCTAAGGAGCCGCCATTAATTCCTCGGTACCTCGCTTCAAACTCTAAAAACTTTGATTTTTATTAAAAAAAAACATGAAAAAGTTTTGCCAGTCGAAAGGCAGAATGTTGTCCTTTATTGTCATAAAATGATCATTTACCTTACTTCATTAAAACTTAGAAAAAATGAAAGAAAAAAGTGAGCAAGCTCACATACACCACGCTCCTCCAAAACTCGACAATGCAACATGTAATGAATGGCACAGTGCATTTTAAATACACAGTATACTTCAAAAAGGGGCATTACTTGCAAAAAATCATCACATCAAAACTTCTTGCATATAAGGACATTCAAATCTTTGTATGTTACAAATTTAATTGGGCTGAAGTTTCTAGATAAATAATGGAATCAAAATTTCTTGGTAATATACAAATCTATACATTATGCCTGAAATATCTACAAAGTTTCAGGAAATCCGGTGAGAACTATCCAAGATTTTGTGTGTGTGTTAAATCATTAATATTTTGATCTCAAAAGCAATAGGGGTCTTTTAAGGTCATAAAATATTTCACATAAAATTTCATTACAAAAGCTGATTCCAGTGGATTTCCATATTACCTAGCTGGAAAGTTTCTTCAAAAATAAGCAAAACTCTTAAGGCAAAAATAATGGAATTTCCTGGTAATATGCACATCTACATACTGTGTACTAATTTAATATCTGCAAAGTTTGACCAAATTCTGTGCAGTGGTTTAAGAGGAGTTGCACTAACAAACTGTTCATCTCTATATTCAAGATATGGCCAAAAATCTAAGTTGAAAAGTGTTAATCTCTATATTCAAGATATGGCCAAAAATCTAAGTTGAAAAGTGCCGAAATTCCCAGAAAAATAACGGAATCGCAATTTCCTGGTAATATGCACATCTACATACTGTGTACTAAATATCTGCATAGTTTGACTAAATTTTGTGCAGCTGTTGAAGAATAGTTGCGCTGACAAAATGTTCATCTCTATATTCAAGATATGGCCAAAAATCTAAGTTGAAAAGTGCCGAAATTCCCAGAAAAAATAAAGGAATCGGAATTTCCTGGTAATATGCACATCTACACATTGTGTCCTAAATATCTGCAAAGTTTGACGAAATTATGTGCAGCGGTTTCTGAGGAGTTGCGCTGACAAAATAACAGGACGGACGGACTGACTGACGGGTCAAAAACATTATACCTCACGCAACTTGTTGCGTGGGGTATAAAATTCGAACTTCTGAGAATTAGGTCGCCGTTGTTAACCCACACCATTTTTTCCATGCAATTTTCATGCATTACCTTAATTTTTCCGCACTTGTGATCTGTTGCACTCTATCTTAGAGCAACGTTTAAAAATATAACTGCTCTCGGTCATCCTCACAATATTTGAGGGACCGTTGATCATCCGTCTCCAAAAATCAGCTCCATTTTCACTTTTGGTTAGCCTCAGAGTTCAATCGGGTCAGCCATATTTGATTCCGTAAACAACTAGTAATATTATCCAATCGCCTTTCATGGTTTAAACTTTAGTCATTCAGTGCGGATTTCATTCAATATGGTTGACCCGATTGAACTCGGGTGAAAAATTATTGTAGGGTTAACGAAGGCGACCTAATTCTCGGAAGTTCGAATATTTTTTTTCTAAGTTTGAATGAATTAAGTTAAATGATCAATTTATGACAATAAAGGACAACATTCTGCCTTTCGACTGGCAAAACTTTTTCATGGGTTTTTTGAATAAAAATCGAAGTTTTTAGAGTTTGAAGCGAGGCACCGAGGAATTAATGGCGGCTCGTTAGGTCCCTTTTCCCCTATTATACTATAGATTGTCTCAAGTCCCTGTGGTTATAACTATGATCGAAGTCACGCACTGGCACACAAATCTTCTCACCTCATATTAAATTTGTTTTATTTAATCATTACTTCTTCCTTTATCTAATCCTTTAATTTTTTTTTACAAGAGAGTCTTTCACAAACCTGCCTTTGAATCCTGGCATCGCGGTCAACAAGAACTTTTTAAGTTTTGAACTTTTTAAAAACGCCAACCGGATATGCTGAGCGCAATATAATACCAAAGCCGATAACGATACTAACCCGGTAGAACTTATAAAGACGCCTTTGGTTTTAACATTTCGTATCGTTAATCATATCCGGTAAATTGTGATGGCGCTATTTGAGTAGGGACCTACCTTAAGGACTCATCCGAACAACCCTCAATTTTCACTTCAAAGTGCCAAGCGCATGGCGAAGGAACAGTTGCTACCCATTTGTAACAGTTATAGACTTAGGTCAGTCGCGGCCGAGATTCGAATTAACGACCTCCCGATCACGGAGCGAGCGCTCTACCGACTGAGCTACCGTGAACGGTTACCAAGAAGTGAATCAGTAAAGATAATTTACCTTTTTTACACTTATTGTACAGCAACAAGAGACGAACTGGATTTCCATCAAAAGATTGTGCTCAAGGTAGTATGTCACACCTCCATGTTATGACGTACTTCCGTTTGAAGTATTGTTTTCATTTGATTGAGTGCTTAGTGTCAACATTTGTAGATACACCGTCTAAAAGAATTTTCTAAAATTGGAGACAAGGTAAATCTATAAAACTAGATGCTGTCATGAGGCAGTAATACTCGCACGAAGGTGTTTGCAATTGCCTTTAAATGCGCTCTCTTTCAAAGTCTGGTAACCAGGGAAGAATCACACATTTGAATCAAGCATTAAATGCTCAGGTGAACATGCAGCCCATATGGACCTCTTATGTAAATTTGTTCATTACCAGTCTGATTTTACATAATTTAATAATGTAAAATCTGTTAAAGAGAGAATTTTTGAAAGATTTGTGTAAAAAAAAAAAGGGGGGGGGGTAATTTTTGGCCAATAATTGGAACTTGTTGAATTTATTGTCAAAACAACAAATATTATTATTTTAGTGCATGACTTTTTTGATGAACTAAAAAAAATGGATGCCAAAATGACAATTTGTGAAAATTTGTATTAGTATTTGGGTAGGAAAACCCCTTTCCAAACCTACATCCGATCAACTTTGTCAAAAATCAACCACCCACCCACGATTCACCTGTTTTCCTGTGATATTAGATAACAGGAATAGATAACACAAACCTATAAAAAATAAAACATTGCATGTAATTATAAATTTTACAATGTACACCTTTTGGGAAAATTTCTAGGCCCGCGCATGGGTTTGGAATTACGTCACACTACGAGCACTACTTTTACTGTTAACATTATTGGAATGCACATCATTATTACCATTAGGAGGTGGGAATGAGGCCACCAAACTCTTTTGACCTCTACCTTTTGATAAGGTCCAGGTCAATTTTTACATCAAAATATAGTCCAGGCTATAACCCTGAGTACTCGGGCATTAGGATTTCAAACGTGTAATATAGAAAGAAGACATTTACTGAAGATGCACTGCACCAAAATTTTGACCTCGACTCTTTCTTCTAGGTCAAATTCAGAAATAACTCCAAACCATAACTTAAGAATCCTTTGAGATTAAAACTTCAATTTTGGAACACGGAGAAGTGGTATGGAGAAAGGGTGCATGCCGACAAAATTTCTTACCTTGACCCATTATAAAGTCAAAGTCAATCTTTTATGAAAGTATTATTCACGACATAATCTGAGAACCCTTTGGCATTACAAATTCAAATTTGGAACATGGATAGAAAACATTGACACAAGATTTGCTTATACCTTGACCTTTCTACATTTAAGGTCAAATTAAGAAAAAAGATAACCAGGTCATAACTCATGAAATCTTTGACATTAAGACCTTAAACGTCATTGTCCCCCTCCCTCCCATTTGACCCCCAGGGTGAAAATGAAAATTCCAAAACCTTATTGCACATCTATTGGAAACCATCAATCATCTTCCAAAATATGATAAGGCTACTGCGTAAAATGTAAGAGGAGTTCTGTGAACCAGGGTCTTTTTGTTAAAAAAAAGAAGTTATTTTTCAACTTTAAGGGTGAAAATGAAAATTCCGAAACCTTATTGCAAATCTACAGAACACCACCAATCATCTTCCAAATGATGATAAGGCAACGATGAAATGTAGGAATAGTTCTGTGAACCAGAGTGTTTTTGAAAAACGTCATTTTTCGACCCCTATTTGACCCCAAGGGTGAAAATGAAAATTCCGAAACCTTATTGCACATCTACAGGACACCACCAATTATCTTCCAAAAGATGATTAAGCTACTCCATAAAATGTAAGAGGAGTTATAGGAACCAGGGTCTATTTGGATAAAAAAAATATTAAACGTCATTTTTTGAACCCCCGGTGTGAAAATGAAAATTCAGAAAACTTATTGCACATCTACAGTCAACCACCTATCATATTCGAAAAGATTAATTGGATATTGCTCAAAATAGAAGAGAAGTGTGAGGAAAAACAAAGCTTGACAGACGGACGGACCAGGGTAACAACAAGTTACCCGAACTTTCTTTAGAAAGTGCGGGTACATGTGTATAAAAAGACAAAATAGAGTATGGTATGTAAATTCAAAATCAGAAAGTAAAAATGATTGAATAATATTGATATTTATTGATAAATACAGAATGATGTGAATCATTTTCAATCCTGAGGAAATTTTTTCATAGGACAATGAGTGATAACCTCTAAAGGCATTAGAAAAAAAAAAGATAATTGAAAAGCAAATGCCTATCCATTCCAATAATTTACTTTTTAGGTTATTATTGAAGTTTGAAACATCTTTCCAGTGAAATTGAAGAAAACGTTTAATTTTCCTATGCCTTGTGTTTGGTGATCATACTGACTGTGACGAATGGTGTCGAGTAAAAAGAAAACCCCGAAGGGTACAGCCTAGGTAATCTACCA